TGTGTGTGTGGGTGGGTGTGTGTATGTGTGTGTATATGTATATATATGTAAAATATAATATATATATATATATATATAAATGTAAAATAATATATATATATATATATATATATATGTGCGTGTGTGGTGTGTGTGAGTGTGTAATATATAATATATATCTGTAAAATACATATTTGTATAATATATATCTGTATAGTACATAATAAATATCTGGATAATATATATATGTGTGACTATATATATATATATATATATCTGGATAATATATATATATATATATATATCTGGATAACATATATATATATAGATATATATCTGGATAATATATATATATATATATATATAAATGTATCTGTATAATATATATATATTTATACAGATATATTCTGAATATATGCCTACATTCGTGTGGATGTATATGAGCGCGCCAGAATACGCTACGACTTGTCTACAATGCCTACATAGTGCACCATCGCGGTATTGTCAGCGCCAGATACTACGTTCGAGAATGGAACGGTATAGTTTGTTTCCAAGTTGAGTATTGGATGAACGCGGTTGAATTTAATTCAGTTCCAGTTTAAACCTGTAATCACACATAGATTAAATGTACATCCCAACCTGACAGCAATATGCTATATAATCGAAATAGTGTGCTTGAGACAGGGGGCCCACAAAGGAGGCTTGATATTAGAAAGGCGTTAATATGCCACAAAATATGAATCACAAATCACTATATCTCACGAATATACCCAGGCATCTGCCGTCTCGCTCCACTACTACATATACTGGTATTAGACACGGTAGACTGCGCCCATAATATCAGAACAAAACACGACTCCCGTGGGCAGTTCTCAGAAAATTCTGGTGTGAAATTAGAACACAAAATGTACATAACTTGCTATTGCAACCTAATATCTAATCCCAAGGACGTAGACGCAGTTAACTCGACTTAAAATCTTCCGCAATGTGGCCGACTAAACCAAAACATACATAACTATCAGCTTACCTGTTGAAAGAATACGACCTGTTCGCGTTCGAGACCGAAGAATTTGTTCTTTTCAAAGAAGTTGACAGTGGCGTCGTGGGTGGGTGCACTAGTCATGACGTACCACATGATTTGCGCGTTTGTACCTTCATGCTCATTTCCTAGTCTCTGTGCTTTGAGGATACGCTCTCCTTGAAGCTGGAACAAACTCTTTCCTGAGGGGAGCTCCACGTCGAACATTCCCTTGGGATTGGCTGACCCAAGGCGTGTACCCTGTCCTCCAGCCAGAAGCACAACTGCAACTTCACCTTGACCTGCGATCGATTTCGTGTCGACTCTATTGAGTAGGAGAATAAAGCAAACAACACACGTGTATATACTGGTATGACAAAAAAATTAGCTCAACTAATAGTGACCAGAATTGAGACATAGTTGCATCATGATTGGCCACCATAATAACTTTGTACCCTAAACCCGCGTTGGAAAGTGATGGCAACAGTAAAAATATTCACTGGAAGTTCGAGTACACAGTCACTTAAATGGTGCTTGCAGGCGATACTGTATCTGGTTGATGTGCACCATACCGATTGCAGTTAGACCACTCTTCAACCATTTTTGACGCTCATTCATGGCTTCTTTGATATCCGAGAAAGATCTACTGGTCATTTGCTTACTCAACGGCTACAACAAAGAATTAAGGAGCAAGTATTGGTTACGTATTGGAACGCATACTTTCAAGGCTTGCTCAACGGCTACAACAAAGAATTAAGGAGCAAGTATTGGTTACGTATTGGAACGCATACTTTCAAGAAAGACCAACGGAAGGTACATGTATCTTGTCGTAATTACACAAAATACACATGTATCTTATCTCAATTACACATGACTCACATATATCTTATCACAATCACCTTTAAAGACCTATCTGCTTTGGCAGGTACATCAGCTTCCTTACTAGCTCCCAAACTGGGTAGCACACGCTGGAAATATGTATTCACGCTGTCAAACTCAATTTTCTCTGCAGATTCAACTAATTCTCGTTGTTCATCCGCACTCAGGTCATCATAAAACTGAAAGATATGACCCTGTCCGGCCGCTTCGGCTCTGGCTTTTACTTCTGTGTAACTCATCACTACTTTGTGTAGACGTACGTATTCGTTTCGTCGATTATGATGAGCGGACGTAGTGTTTATAATGTTTATAAATAAATATGTGATATCTATGTGCTGTGTACATAAACAAAGATATATAGATGTTGTTTATAAATATATTTGTGTGTGATTCATCACTTTCAAAAAAAATTGATCACTGCCATTCCAGATTTCCAGTTTTATTTCTCCCAGAGGGGCCCAGGCCCCAGCAGACTGGCAGGCTTCGATTATGGCGTCAAAATCGAGGAAAGCTGACCAAAAATCTCTAAATTTCGGATGAAATCAATGACACGTTAAGAATAAAGTACATATGTACATATGTGGAATTGTGGACTAGGGAGATAAATCAAACTCGAGAGTAGTTCGAAATAAAAGTATTTTGGAATTATAAACACCAATTCTGGAGGAAATGTACTTTGAGACAGTCTTTTTTAGAGAAAAGCCAAACGAGAAAAGACTCAAAGAGGGCCCTCAATCTCCTACAGAGAGTAGTGGAGTGGGTCATGAATGGGGTCCCCAAAAAAAATGTTTCAAAACACCGCGGCAGACGCGTAGCACAGGGGCCACGCCCGCCACAGGCTAAATAGAGAGAGCAGCGTACATCGGAAGTTTTTTTTTGGTTTTTTTAAACAGTACTGATAAACAGATTGCTGATGACAGTGATGAGTGACGACCGATGTAATAAATAACTCTAGATCCGAGGTTCAGACATAATCTTCAAGCGATCGTGATTGGTATAATTTGTCCTAATTACAAAACAATACGATACGGAGTAATTATTGAATTGAAATCGAATAATATTATTGATCTAAAGCGACACGTTTTAATGCAAACTTCCCTGATGTCATTAGCGTACGACAATTTTTATTTATTTTTTACACTTTCGAGACTCGAGGAGTCGAGTCTCGAGACTCAAAGAGTTGAGTGTCATGTAGAGCCTCGACTTCATAGTACATACTCGAGTCAAAGTGTCGAGTGTCGACTGTCGCGGTGTTGGCTCACTCCTCGGCTATCGAACGCCCGAGTGCTGACTGCTTATTTATTAGTCGCACTGTAAGTCTGCAACCTCAAAACGTACAATGCTACTATGTACGTTTATTTTTGACCCGTACAACGTAGTATGGTCCAATATTTATGAGAAGGGGTTAAATTCAGGTTTGTCCTTATACTCGCTCGTTCATTGACCTATATACCAGTAGCTATGTACGCTATCTAGGTCGCGCAGACCGAAATTTTTAGTCCAATATAGTGCATATATACGTTTCTACGTTTTTAATTGACCCGTTAAGCGTTACTCGTTGAACGTAAAACCCCTATGGCAGAACGTCATGACTCACTCGACAACTGACACGTCGAAAACTGTACTCTTTTTGGGGGGTTTTTTTTTAAACAAATGCAAGAAATTTCATAGACTCCGAGG